ATCTCACGCATTGTGGAGAAGGAGGAAGAACAGCGATACAAAAAGGAGTTAGGAGGGAAGGAAAAAGGATTGCTCAAGGAGACGGCGGGTTTGAGATAAAAGAAACGGGGGGGCAGAGGTGATGTTGGGCGACGAAGAGGGAGCGGGAGGATTTATTGGGAGAAGAAAAACAAAAAAAGTAGGGAACCGTGACCGTCAGGTGTCCGTCAGGCGACATTGGGGATAGTGTCGCAGGCTCCCCGTTATGTAAAGTCGTAAGTAAGCTGTGCATTTTGGGGAGGGAATTGCGCTGGGCCTATGGATTCATTGGGTTCTTCCAGCCTCTTGCCCCAAAGCACACTAGTCATAACTTTGCTGTTCTAGCCCCGTTTTTTTGGTTTTTTTCCTTTCCCTTTTTTTTTTTGTTTTTTTTACCCTCGTCTTTATCAATAATATGGACAACGCAACAGTAACTAAACAGTCCCCCGTTTAGAATCGGGCCTCTCAGTGACAGGAAGCAAACAATCACCAACCAAGATCCCTTTGATGTTGATCCACGGTACTTAACGAAATATACCTACTAGAATAAGAATAATGGTAATAAATATACTAATAATAAGGTTACTATAATATCTATACCATTCACTCCGGGTTACGACCCAAAAAAAAACAACCAACAATGAATGTATACGTATGTTCTTCACCGCTCCAATATTTTGTTTTTTTCTCTCTACGTTTTGAGATTGCGCTTTGGCAAGAAGTTCAACCGGATGCACCCGGGATGCAGTGACTCTGGGCCTCAGGCACCTTGCGGGTCAGACAATCGTAGTATTTAATAGAGTATGTATGGCCATCGTACCGAATACCTCCTCCGTATACGTTGTCATGGAGGACAAGGGGGCACCTACGCTAACCCATCATGGCCTAAAAGGTCACCCCCCAAGACTGCCAGCAATCGTCGCTTAGAAATGAAGCCAGATCGCCAGCAAGACAGATCGGCATGCTTTTTGAACGGTGCGGATGGTCTCAGCGGCCATGTCAACCGTATATTCTACCTCGGATAGTATGCAGACGAGCGATCCTTAGTTTCCAACAACTTGAACGAACAGTCCCAATTAATAAACGCGATATTTATCGTGATTTGTGAACTCCATTCCCCTGGCTCCAGCTAGTATCTCCACCGCGGAAATATCGAAATATCTATCTAATATGAAGAACTTCGAACTAGACCGACTAATCTAACCACGAGCCATTCTCCGTGGTGGTTGCCATGATGATGTCGCGAGCGGTGCATAATATAGGGTCTGCAGCGAAATATATCCCATGAGTGAACTTGAAGTATAGATTTATCCTAATCTGAACCCTGCAATGTGCATATTTCTATAGACTTATGGCCTTCCCAACTTCGCGAAAGCCTTCTCAAACGCCTCCACCAACGGAGAGATATGCCGCTCCTGGAAAATAAGCATCGGACGCAGGCGAATCGTTGCTATCCCGCAGCTTCCAATGTTAATCCCGAGACTACGCATTTCCTTCAGCAAGGCGCTGGAATCGGGCGTGTCAAAAGCAAGATACGTTCCCTTGCCCTTACCGCGGAGGTTCTGGATGAACTCTGGATATTTCGCGGCCAGACCAGCAAGTCTCTCGTAGAGAATGTCACCCACACGAGCCTGGACAGGTCAGAATGGGATGTAAAATCAAGCAGGATTATACTTACTGTGCTTTCTACAAGACTTTCGTTGAGTATCTCGTCAATCACCGCATTACTCATGATTATGCGTGCAGCGTCACCCATCCACCTAAGGAACACGCCTGTCAGTTTTCTCATTCAAGCACTGTAGAAGTTGGACTCAGTCTTACGTGTTGAATTGCCGGTAGGCCTTATCAGGCCGAAGAGAGCTGTCACTGAAGAAGTAGCCCGCAGTCTGTGCCTTCTTGGAGAAAGTCACGATATCTGCGGGGGCTGACAGGTTCCAATGCTCATGGCCCCAGAATTTGCCCGTGCCGCCGAAGCCTGTCTGAACCTCATCAACAATCAGGCAAACCCCACGAGCTTTCGTAATAGCCTGTAGCCCCTGGAAAAACTCCGGCGAGGCATGGTTGTCACCCCCTTCGCTCTGAATCGGCTCAACGATGATGCCAGCCACTGGGCAGTGCCAGGAATCAACGATGTGCTCAATCTCCTGCAGGCAGCGCTCCTCTTCGCGACGGTTCTCCTGCTCGTGTTCTTCCAGAGGGTATTTTAGCTGCGGGAATGAGGCCTGGGGCCACTTAAAGGACGGAATATCGATTTTGTGCACCGGTTTGGAGCGAGTTGCGGACAGACTAGCGAATCCACGGCCGTGGAAAGAGTTCTTGAAGCTCAGGATAGCCAGATCTGGGGATCCGGGGGCCTGGTTCTTCATGACAGATTCCTGTTCAAGCTCAGACCAGGGTGCATCTCCTCTTTGCTTCCGGCGATAGGCCATGAATGCGGCCTTGAAGGCTAGTTCGTTTGCCTCGGATCCCGACTGTGCTGTGAACACCTGGGTGCATCCGCTGGGAGCCGCGCGCATGAGGCCATCGCGCAGCAGGCCAAGCCACTGCTGGGACGGGAAATTGCCAATCGCGGGACGGTTAACCAAGGCTGAAACCATCGCCGGTGACTGAGCGGCTTTCACCAGTGTAGGGTTGTTGTATCCCACGGGGATCGAGGCAATCTGCGCGTAGACATCGAGATAGGTATTGCCGTCTATGTCGACCAAACTAGACGGCGTCAGTCGCGACGGGTTCCTGTGTTCGAGTATCGGAAAGAAAGCTTACTAGTTTCCCGAGCTTTTGTCATAGTCAATCACCATCTGCGTGGTACGGGCATCAAAGACGACATCTAGTTCCGATTTAGCAGCATTTGTCAACGGGCCGGGAACGGCCGTCTGCAGAGAAGGTACGGATGGCTCAGGGATGACCGTCATCATGAGACTTGTAGATACACAAAAGTTCGTAGAATGATTGTTTGATCTACCTCATAGATTGGTTAGAAGGCGAGGGTTGCGTAGTCGGCTTTTATCTAAATCACCGACCCGGACAGCTTTCCGGGACGCTCTCCCTCCGGACCGGGAATGTGCTCCTGCAACCCACGATACAAGTCAATTCCAAGAAAAGAGGCAAAGGCTAGTAGTTTGACATGCAATAAATTGCTACGAACCAAGACCCGGAGCCGGGAATCGAGACCAAAGAAACTCCGCAACGAAGTCCGGTCGGGTAACTGCTCCCGAGACAAGGATGATAGTGCACAGGCCATCCGGATTTCATACATATAAACCCCTCCACCAGAAGAACAACACGAAGCCATCCAACACCTTTGAACATTTATCCATTATCAATTCCCACCGCCGCAAGATTTAAAGAAAAGAAAAAGAAAAAGAAAAAGCTTTCAAACCAAAACTCACCATGTCCAAACTCACCGACTACCGACTCCTCTCGTTCGACGTGTACGGAACCCTAATTGACTGGGAAACCGGCGTGTGGGACGCAATCCAGCCAACTCTAAGCGCAAACAACGCGCAAGTAACACGAGAAGATTATCTGACGCTCTACCACGAACTCGAAAAGGCCCAACAAGCCAAGACCCCAGACATGCCCTACTCGCAACTGCTGTCCACCATCCACCCGGAAATCGCCTCCCGCCTGGGCCTGAACCCGCCCAACGCAGAAGAAAGCAACAAATTCGGCGAATCTGTCGGCCGGTGGCCTGCGTTCCCAGATACCCTGGAGGCGTTGAAGCGTCTGTCGAAGCATTACAAGCTGGTCGTGCTGTCAAACGTAGACCGCGAGTCGTTCAAGAAGACCAATGCGGGCAGCCTGCAGGGGTTCCCGTTTGATTTGATCATCACAGCGCAGGATGTGGGGTCGTATAAACCCGACCTGGCCAACTTTGAGTATATGTTGAAGGCTGTGAAGGGGCAGTTTGGGGTCGCGCCGGAGCAGGTGCTTCAGACGGCGCAGAGCCAATTCCATGATCATCATCCTGCCAAGAAGATGGGGCTTAAGTCTTCTTGGATCGAGAGGCCGGGGGCGTTGATGGGGAATTTGGAGAATACGGTCTATGACTGGAGGTTTGATACGCTGGGGGATATGGCTGATGCTGTTGAGAGGGAGTTGTAGATGCTATTCTTTTGTCGGGGATGAGCTTAATGATTAGATGCCATTGATATGATTATCCTTTGCAAGACGAGTATAGAAAATGTCGTAAACGTAGTCTATCTTTTGGTATATTCTCCGTCTAGTCTCATAACAGCTACAGCACAACCCCTAGGGAGGACACCAGAAGAGCCACCAGAAAGCCACCAAAAACATAGTACACACAACTTAGATTAAAAGTACATTCCAATATACAGTATACTAGTGCTTATACCAGAAATATCAAGTGTACAGAATGGATATCAAACAAGAAGTCAGTTAGTTAAGAAACCAATGACAATACAGGAAGAACGTTAAGTACACGGCCACAGACTACATTCGTAGGGCTAAGTTGGCTCATGCATACGGCATGCCGAAGCATAGTTAGTATCCCAGGGTAGTTAGTAAGATATAGATAGACATTTGAGATTTTCAATTGTCTTCGTCTAGTCCGATGTATTTCTGGATATGGGGCTGTGGCACATGGATCGACTAAGATTAACCCTAACAGCGGAACTACCAGTACCTTGGAAGGTACACCATCACAAACGATAATAGATTTTGAACTACGTAATTACAGTAATAGGAATTACAATAACAGGAATGAGAATAGTAGACAGATCCACGAAGACAAGAAAGACAACAATGGGGCATTACAAAAAGCCAATTCAAGCGAACTCAAAATATCTTCAACTTACAAACCTACCATGTACCAAATTACTACCTAGAAGTACCTAGTAGTACCTAGCATATACCTAGGAGCAGTTACCTAGTGGTATTATGTATATAACAAAGGTGTAAAAGTATACAATCCTTCTCCCAGATTAATATACACAAAAATCCGGCCAAATTTTCAACCGGTTGGGGCGCTGGCGCAACGGTAGCGCGTTGTAAGTTTACCATGACTTTCAACAATATGAAACGAACATTCATTCTAACAAATTATCATAGTGACTCCAGATCAAAAGGTTATCCGTTCAAATCGGGTGCGCCTCAATTTCTTTTTTGGAGTTTCTTTTTTATTTATGTAGATGACATACTAGTCTTTTTCTTGTAAGGGTGCATAGTATGTTGTTTAGTCAACCATTTCTATAGTGGTGCGTGTTACTACAGTGGATATATCATATATTGAAATTGTGTGGTGTTTATACTTGGACTTTATTTTACTTTTCTGTAGTTGTCAGAGTTGTACCGGAACATGCATGTAACTCCGTAACTCCGACTCCTTGGCCCGGGTACATGTACCCGAGTCCTGGATCCTTGTTTTGGTAAAAGGACCAGAACATAATGGAGACACAACCAGAAATGGAACGGAGAAGGAGAAGAAGAGAAATCAGAAAAAGCAATTCGTAATGGAATCAAATAGAATGAATGAGAGAATGAATGAGAGATAAGGAAACTAACCCCGTGTCATAACCGGAGACAACCAATACCTATCGTAGCGTATACTACCTCTCAGTATTTCCTTCTACGGAGTACACTATTCTTCCAACACACTAGAGTCACTACACGAGCGTGACAATAGCATCCGGGTAGGGGGGCTGCTTGAACTTCGGATCCGGACATCCACATCGCAACTCGGCATGGACCGGTTCTCCTTCCCGGTCCGAGTGGACAGGTAAGACAAGACGTAGGGTATTGTTTTTGTTGAATATAAGCTACGGGGTTGACGACCACCGGATATGGAGACTCTCCTTTTGTTCAGAGATCATACGTACCACGTCGAAAGTAAAGTGTTGTTAAGCCCTCCATCTCCAACTATACATCGCCATGGCTCACATCGTCCCTAAAGTGAGTGATAGTCTACCGCTGGAAACCTCTCACTAGTTCATTGACAAAACTCCAGTTAAAAGACAAAACACTTCTCATTGGAAAATGCTATGTCAACGGCAAATGGACCACCTCCCAAACTAACGCAACATTCTCGGTCTATGGTAAGCACAACTATCACCACCTCCTCAATCCGCATGGCGTACAACGCATCCAACTGATACAGCACAAAAACAACCACAGACCCAGCAACAAACCTCCAGATCGGCACCTGCCCCGAGTTCACAGCAACCGACACCACAAAAGCCATAAGAGCAGCCTCAGTAGCCTTCCAAACCTTCCGCCACACCCTCGTCCGAGACCGCGCCCGCCTCCTCCGGCGGTGGCACGACCTGATAATCGCAAACCGCGATGACCTCGCCACGCTCATCACCTGGGAAAACGGCAAGCCCTTCCCCGAAGCCCAAGGCGAGGTGGCATACGCGGCCGCCTTCATCGAATGGTTCAGCGAAGAGGCGCCCCGTCTGTATGGGGACACCATCCCTGTCTCCGTACCAGGGAATGTAGTCCTCACGAAACGCGAACCGGTTGGCGTCTGCGGATTGATCACGCCGTGGAATTTCCCGGCCGCTATGATCACCCGGAAGATTGGGCCCGCCCTGGCGGCGGGGTGTACAGTTGTGGCAAAGAGCCCCGGTGAGACACCGTTTACGGCCAATGCGTTGGCGGAACTAGCGCATCGGGCTGGGATCCCTGCGGGAGTGATCAATGTCGTGACGGCGATGGAGAATACGGTGGAGGTTGGTCGGTGTCTGTCTACGCATGCGGATGTCAGGAAGGTGTCATTTACGGGGTCGACGAGGGTGGGCAAGTTGCTTATGGGGCAGGCTTCGGGGACCGTGAAGCGGGTGTCGTGGGAGTTGGGGGGTAATGCGCCGTTTATTGTGTTTGACGATGTGGAGAGTTTGGATGAAGCGGTGGATGGGCTGATTTTGTCAAAGTTTCGCGGGAATGGGCAGACCTGTGTTTGTGCGAATCGGGTCTATGTGCATCGGTCTTGCTATATGAGCTTTGCGGAGAAGTTGGTTGAGAGAGTGAAGGCGTTTCGGGTTGGGCCTGGATTTGAGGATGGGATCACACATGGGCCGCTTATTCATGGGGCCGCTGCTGAGAAGGTGATGGCCCATATTGAGGATGCAAAGGCTAAAGGGGCCAGGGCCCTTGTTGGTGGTGAGCGACTGGGACGTTTGGGGGATAACTATGTCCAGCCGACCGTGTTGGTGGATATGACGCATGATATGCGACTGGCCTCTGAGGAGACGTTCGGACCTGTTGCCGCTCTTTTTGCATTCGATGAAGAGGCGGAAGTTGTTCGAGAAGCGAACCGGTGTGAAGTTGGTTTGGCAGCTTATATCTATAGTCGGAGCATACGAAGGCTGTTCCGTGTCGCCGAGGCGCTTGAGGTTGGGATGGTGGGTGCCAATACGGGCATCATTAGCAACGTGGCAGCTCCGTAAGTGACTCTGTATCTGGGGATCCACCAGGGCCTTCTACTAACCAAGTTAAATAGATTCGGCGGTGTCAAGGAGAGCGGGTTTGGGAGAGAGGGAAGCAAGTATGGAATCGATGAGTTCACTCACGTCAAGACCATTACAATCGGAGGCCTAGCCTAGTCAGGACTCGAGATATCTCTAGCCAATTTATACCTAAATCAAAGGGTAAATGAACCAATTATCGAAAACTGGCATGTATCTATTTGATGCCCAGATAATATACCGCTATTGGTCTTTCAGGGTAAGCAGATTCTGAGGAGCCACGATGCGTTCCCGGAATATTGTCCCAGTGGTATCTATCTGTTCTGTAGAGTGTGTTAGGTCCTAAGACATCTCATCACATATGCCCTCAGACACCGAAGCAAGAAGACAGATGTTGTAGGGGCTCAAAAAATATCTCTGTATATCCAGATACTGAGAAAAAGAGCTGACATGTCTGACAGCGGTAATTCAACCAGCTATACCTTCATGATAAAACGCCGATGTAGTAGATCTGACAGTGTACGATGATAAGGTATAAGTTTTACAGAGCATGAGATTGCTTGTGAGAAGCTCACACAGAGTGAAGATTTAGGACTTCTCATCGCCTAATACTATCTTCATAGGTAACCATCAAACGGGAGCATCAGGGTGTGGAGGGAACGCTGGTAGTGATAGGTCATCGGGCCAAAGCATGGTTGGCAGGCTATCACCAAACTGCATTCCTGTTTCTGGGAGGGAGGCAAAAGCACCAAGCTCCTGAGGAAAGGAAGAAAAGAACCCATCAAAAGACCCAGCTGGCAACTGAGAATTTTCGAGCCCGATAGACTCAGGTTCATCCCCCACATTGGATGGAGGAGTCTCAGATTGCCATAGCATAGCCCAGCGCCTAAACTGATTGTATCCGGTGCCTGATTCACCAGAGGCTGGGTCTTCATTTTCAGCTCGGCTGTCCAAACGCCGTGCTGCGCGCTCAAGCGCCTCAATAACTGCTACTTCCGAACGAGCGGACTGAAGACCAACACACATCCGGCGTATCAAACCCATGCCTTGCGTAAGTGCTCCACGGAGCCGCTCCGTTCGTGTGTTCAGGCTCTGAGCAATTATAGCTAAGAGTGCCGCACGGCAGGAGCTAAATTCGGTATACGACACCCGTGCTACGCCAACCGTGTCCTGTAATAGTTGACATAGCTCGACGATTCGGAAAGCAGCCTGAACGCAGTCAAGGCACAACATTGCACCAGCGTCTACGGTTGAGTCAGAGCCGCCCTCAACAGAAGCCGATGAACTTAGCGTGCCAGCAAGAATCAAAGGGCGACCCATGTACATGATTATCATAGCATACGTCAGTTCCAAGTGGACATTATAACGGAAAAGCGGCTTGGAAGGATCAAGGTCACGGCAGTGTACATCTTCGGGCAGGGTGGCCCACCAGCTCCTGAGTTCATCGTGTACCTGTAGAAGCTGTTTAATGTAGATCTGATGTAATTCGCCTGGACAGTTTCGCAGCCGGGATCTAGAATTTTTGTTAAAAGCGATCAGCAGAGGGAACAGGTTAGTGAGGGATTATGCGCCTTACATGATGGGTGAAACCTTTGCAAGCTGCTCAGTCAGCTGGATGGTAGCAGTGATATTGGGTAAATTCGTGACTCGGCCAGTGGGACGCAATTCAGGTATGTCCTTAGGCATGTCGCAGTCTATTTCAGTTGGAGACACGGAAACTGGACGTCCGTGAAGGATGCTAATCCGTCTATATTTGGGGATACAGTTAGAAGTGAGGTAACCGCAAGCGTTCCTTTGCTCTCTCTCACCTATCCAATGCGTATGCAGACCACCAAAGACGGTTCCGCAATTCAATTGTGCGCGGATCTAGGCCATCCCCTCGGAACTGACGATGCATACCATTCTGGATGGCCATCTTTATGGCAAGTCCAAGGTAAGTGTAGGCAAGGCCAGAGGTATCAATCGGCATGGTGTAAACTCCAAATAACAAAAACGCCTGAACAGTTTCGACGGAGGCCGTGGTAATAAGGTCGGGGATCAAGCGACATGAAAACCGATAGAGTGCCAGCCCAATATTATCGTCAGGTAGGTGATCTTCACCTGACATGCTCTGCAAATATGGGTGCCGGCTAGCATGCATGTAAGCGAACTGAGTCCCAGAGGCAAACGTCATAAAAAGGGTACAGATCCAGCCAGCATCATTGATATCTAGGTAACGGTCCTCGGCATAATAGTAGTCCAATTTCTGCCGGAATTCCGTTTCGTCAAAATAGTAATAGTTCGTCTGGGTATATTCAAGAAATGTTTCCAACAAAAAGTCCGCAATATGTCGCGGCGGGAAATACTTTTTTGCTGAAGTAATAATTGAGCTAGGGGATTGAAGACCAGTTGCACGGAAGGGATCATGAGCTGTGTGGGAGTCTCCCGTCTGAATACAGTCATCAGCATACATATGAAGATAGGGAGCCAACGAATAGTACCATGTTGTCGTCAGGGTCGTTGCCTAGACTTTGCAGTTTTCGGCGGATCATACGGGAGAAATTCCAGTGAGAGAATTCTCCCGAGTAGACTATACACAGGATCCAGGTAAGATACATGGCACCTGGAAAGTAAAGCTACGCCCACCATGACTTACTCATCGTACTCGTGGAATGCGGGTGAATGGAGTAAAGCTCGCTCGATCCCGGCCCT